CCTGGTTGTTTCGCGGTATCGTGGCCATACTATGGAATCACCGCAGAGGTTCAGCAAGGCTCTATCAGCCGCGCTCCGACCCGACAGCGGCGGCCGCAACGGCTTGGATCAATTCCTCGGCCGTCGCGTCGACATGTGGCAGCTCGATCATGTCAAGACTTGGGCCGTGGCCAACCACCGCAAGTCCTTCAATCACATCGTGTCCGAAGTATTCACAAGAGATGATCAGGGCCAGTCCACGCGCGTATGCATCAGGCCAACGGTGCTGGTCAGCCGTGGCGAGATGCACAGGAGTATTACGTGATCGCCGTACTGCGTGCCCTGCATCTGCACATCGACGACGAGAAGGCCCGCTTCCAGGTCTTCGTCCGCCGTCCCAGACCAGACTTGTTGGGGGCAGACTTTGCATGGGATCGTGTAGTGGCCATTCGTGCCATAGGTGGTCATACTGCCGTACACCGCAACAGCCAACCATGGAATATGGACTGGAAGCGTTTGTCATGGGCAGATGTGAAGTACTTACACCATGCTACTACGAGGGATGCCTGGGTGAGTATTCGGAAGGTTGGTATTGTTCCAGGATATGGTGCTGACCGCCACGCACGGCGCGAGGCATTCTACAGTTCAAGTTCCTCCGTGCGCTATGACACACAGAACCCTCATACTACGATCCCTGGATACAAGTTCGAGCACAAGACGAAGCAGGTCGACGTGGTCATCGACATGCGCTCGGCCATGACTGCTGGCTGTGAATTCTGGCTCGGCGAACAAGGGGCCATCATGTGCCCCCGGACTGTCCCGGGATTGGCCATCATGGCCATCAGAACGGTGGGGGGCGGCGCTCTATGGCCATCCAATTTGAACTTGAAATATCCAGAGTTGGTCAAGTTGCCGGCGCCACGCAGCCAATGCGAGGTCTGCAAGTTTGCGCCGGTGGCAACACCAGCAGCAGAGTCGTCGCGGACGCGCGTCCAGGCACCAAAAGCAAATCTGATGCCTGTCGGGATGCGTTCATGTTCCTCTTCTGCTGCTCCGAGTGTTCCGAAGATCCCAGGTCTCCAACCAGTGCCGAAGCAGGACCAGTCGCAACTGGATGATTTTCTGTACGACAGAGGGCCGGTGGCGAAACCTGCGCCGACTCTGACAGACGAGGCCATTCTGACCATGGTTCACTGGTGGGCGGTTGTGGACGATTGCAAGGAAGAATATTTCGATCCCCTGGTGGGGGCACTTCCTCTTGGCACATGGGATCGTTGCAGTCGCTTCCAGAATATCTGCATCGACGAGTTCATATATGCACGTCTGCATGGTTCGGCCCGTTGCCGCGCCGTTGATCGCCTGTGGCCAGCAAAGAAAGATGTCGCGCTCACGCTGGAAAAGGGTTGGATATACGGACCGATCCTCGACATTGCTCACAATGGTCCATACGTCAGTGTACAGATCTTTTTGAGGCCGAGGCCCGTTCTTGGCCAGCATGTGGCATTCCGAGAACAAGATTAACGAGTGCAACGGCTTTTCTTTCGCAGTTCCACTGCGTGCAGAATTGTCCGAGATGTACACTAACCACCTGAGCTCGTCCGATGTCGAGTCCCACTTTGGACTTATCGATGACGATATTGTTACTGACATGCCATTGGACACACCCTCGCTCCAACATAACGACAATCAGGACATCAATATCGACGAGACAAAGCTGATCACAATTATCGAAGGCGTCGAGGACCTGACTCATTTTTGCCATGTGTTCGACAGCGGAGATGAACGACCTTCGCAAGCTGGCCAAACATACACAGTCTGTTGGATTGCTGCAGACTCCACTGTTGGAGGTGGATCTGGTATGTACGGCAACATACACAGACACATCCTCGTATGAAAGTCACCTGGAGATGTGGTTCCGCTTTGACCCCAAGGCGAATTGGTACAATATGAACTTCAACCCATTGTCTCCCTGGGCCGAAGAATGGCTGAGCATCTGTGGACACAATCGTTTTCTGTTTACCATGATGACGGAGATGAGTTGGGACGATAACGACGATTTGGTACTGTCTCGTTGGATTCCACATCTGTTCGCCATTCTTCAGAGTGATGCTACACTTCGTTTACCAACGACTTCATCGACGGACATCCTCAATAATCTTCCAGCGTTGGCGTCCCTACTCGGTCTCTGGGAATCGACCGTACTATCAGACAAGTACGGTGACATGCTGACGAACCCAGTCAGCGACCAATATAACCTCAGGGCTGCCGCCACTCCGCCGCCCGATGCTACGCGCATCCCTGTCCCTGACCCTGGAGGCGTTGCGTCTGCCGTTGCCCCCACACAGGAACAGCTCATTGAGGTGATGCGTTCCGACTATGACGATGTCATGGGTGAACCGCGCGTCGACGATGCACTGGGCCAGGAACTCCGACGCAGAGCGGAGAGACTCTTCCGAGACCGTCAGGGCACAGCCTCAGCACATCGCACTCGCGATCAATTTTTGGATGGGGACCTCGCTGATCCTATGACTTTCAAGGGATTGCGATCATTGGCCGACGATCTTGCCACCGACAGCGCCAGCTTCGTCTCGAACAGTATCGTTCGAATGATCGGCCGCAAATTGGGCGCTGGTGGCAACGCCCGCAAGCGGACTCAAACATTGATCGAGAACGGAGCTGCTGAGTGCCAGACCGCCAAGCAGCAGTGTGGAAGCTGCTGCCGTGACCTCCCCAATGACGACCCACATGAAGATGGCCTGTGCCACATCTGTTCTCAATCATTCCAGCGTGGGGGAACGGGTTCCTACCGGGTCCAAGTCCTGGCTGACGTGCGCGACTGGATCCGCGATCAGATGGGCGAGAACATCGTGCGCCAGATAATGCGTGCGGATGTCCAGGTTCGCGTCACTGGCACGCGTTCCGATGAATCCACTGCCAAAGACTTTCCTCGCAGACTGGCTAACAAAGCCACGCTCCGACACTCCATGTGGTTGGAGGCTGGCAGTCCCAGCCCTGGCCAATGCCGTGTCGGCGGGCAGGGGGAGGCTGACAAGGAGGGAACGGTCCTCTATCATCCGCACCCTGGCATTGCCCATATCTTATTCGAGGAAAGCGTCTTCCACCGTCGGATGACGACAGACAGAGCGCAGTCGCACTTGTGCCCATTCACGATCGAGGACATGCACGAGGGAATGTGCCTGCATAGCGAGAGCCGGCGGCTCGGATATGCTGGCCGGCTGGCGCAGGCTCCCGGGGCGAGCGGCTTGGCCGCGGGTATTTGACCTGTCCGCTCCCTCACGGAAGGGGCAAGGTCAAATCAACCGCGTCGCGTTGAAAGAGTTTCGGACGCAGGTGCCCAAAGGTGCTGGCAAGGGTGAGACAGACGACTTCACTGTCGCCCCCGAGGACCTCACCCGCCTCGCCCCTGCTCCTCCCCCCCCGCGCCGCGATGGCCCCGCGCCTGCCTATGCTCCCGGCGGCGCTGGCTGGGCTGACGCTGCGGACAGGACTGGTGGAGTCGCCCGTTCCTCGACATCGCGCCGTCCCTTGACGCCGCCGAGGCGCGACCGCGACTACGATGGCGACTGTGGCTGTAGCAGGAGGGCTGTGCGCGAGTGCCGCAACGTCTACACCTGGTGGCGTCGCGGACTCCAGCGCTACGAACACGGTGCATACCGTTACTCGTCGCCCCACTAGTCCCACTTGATCTATGTTGACGAGCACGACAACGAGTGCATCTGGTCATGGGGCAACTACCGTACTATCACCATCCATTCTTTCAATGACTACGGGAATCGTGTTTGGAATGAGCGTTACTATGAGAATTGGACGTGGTTATTGATTGACATACTTAGTCTGTATCTTGCTTTGTATACATTCCATCATCGCATATTCTGGGTATCGGTTTGATATCATTGCGTGCTTCATTCATGACTATCTTGAGATATCTGGACATCTGTAACGTTCAATAGGAGATATTTGATTTCGCATTGCGTATGGCTCTTGACTTTGATTCACATGACATGGTCTGGCAATTGGACATAAACGCACCCAGGCAGGGCGTCCGCCAGTAATCTTATACAGTCAAATATAGGATTTCTTATCATAGAACGGCGTCAGAGACGACCGATGCAAAGCATTCTCCACGATTGCTTCTTTTTCGTCTTACTTCTCAGTGTACCGTTGGGGCCTGGAGTGCCTCGCATCATGCGTGATCCTTTATCAGAGATGAGTTGTCATTGCAACTATCCCATTGCGTATCATATTTGGGCCTGGTGCAGTCTCTTGGGCCTGGAGAGCCCCGTGATTGAGATATAGTTTTACTTTGATCGAGTTGTCGTCGCAACTCTGACCCACCTTACTTTGCGCGCGCGCCGCGTTGGTGGCAACCCCTGCATCGAAGGATGTTGGTGCCGCTTGTCTTCTCTCTATCCCTTGCTCTCCCATCCCTGTCACCTGTGGTGACGGAGTACCGCCCAGACGTGCCGAAGCGTTTTCTGGGGCGCACTTGGGCCCGCAAAGTCGGGTATATACTCCTAAGTACCCCGTGTGGCGGGGTTGGTTCTCTTCCCAACCTGCCTAGTCAGCGCGCCCTCGTTTGGAGGGGCGGAGGGTGAAACGGGGCTGTGAGTGGACTTCGCACCTCTGTTCCCGATCCCTGCCGTTGTCTCCCGTGGTCCCGAGGCCATCGGGAACTGGCAGGTTTCGGGGCGGTGTGTGTGTGTGTGTGTGTGTGTGTGTGTGTGTGAAGTCCGCTCACTTCCCTATTGCATCCCTTCCGCAACTGTATTGGCTCAAGTATTGGCATTCTGACCGTTGTGCACTGCGCGCTGCGCAGTGTCTGGGAACAAAGGGGTTCCGCTCCTTGCCTCTACCTACGGACCCCGTGCAGGAGCGGCCCCTCGGCCGTCTCCTTGTATTCGCATGCGCCGACAAGTGCAAGGAAACGGGCAAGGGTCATGTTTTCGGACCGCCGAAAGGGGCACCTCCACATGGCGCCTGTTTCGACACCCTCCTCAGAGGAGGTGGGCGGCAACACCAGGAAGATCCTCGCCGACCGCGGCGTGTGAATCGACGAGGTATCGGCGCATCTAGTTCTGGCGAAGAGGGATCGCGTCAAGGTCAGCAGTTGCGACGGCAGCACGCAAGCCAAACTCGCCATCTACATCCAGCCGGGCGCCTGAACGGACGCGGGGGCGGAGGAGGAACCGACGGCGGAGAAGTTGCATCAAGCAGGCATCAAGGGCACCAGTCACCCCGCGAGGCAGCAAATCGGAGCCATCGTGAACGAGGGGAAGGCTTCATTTGGAGTCGTAGGGGATGAGCTGGTGGCTTGGCTGGCGAAATTATGACGATATGGTTTCTCGGCTACGCTTCGATTTGCTGGTGAGGACGGGCCCGCGGTGGCCGCGCGTCCTTGTGGAATTGCGGCCCGATTGGGCGACGTTGGGCTCCCATCAATGTCGCGCTGACTGACGTCCCCCCCGGGGCTGCCCTCCTTCTTCTTTTTCTTCTTCTTATTTTTCTTATTCATCTTGTTGTTCTTCTTATTATCGTTTTCCTCTTCCTTGTTATTCTTATTCCGCTTCTTATTTTTCTTCTTCCTCCTCCTCCTCCCTCATCACCCTCGTCCTCCTGCGCATCCTCCTGCTCGACCGCTTCCTTCCCTGCCTCCGTGTGCAAACTCCGGGGTTCAGTGCAACAGGATATCATTGTCACGCGCGCGCATGGTCTATGCATTCAGCATTTTGCAATTCGAATGCTTTTTATTCTTCCGTTCGGAGCGCTGTCGGTCATGCACAATTTGTTTTCCCGCTGCAGCGCTGGCCCGTTGCAGGATCGATTCTTTGCCCCTGCCGTCCAGAATGTCGCTCTTGCCCGTAGGCCGCATTGATGGATCCGATGTCTTGCTCGTCGTGGCTGCCCATCCTATCCCCTGCTTATTGCTCTTCTTGCTCTCCTTGCTCATCTTGCTCCTACTCCTGCTCGTGCTGCTGCTGATACTTCAGCTTCTCCTTCCTCATCTTTATACGGTTCCGACTGCTCATCCGTGAGTATTTTTCGGAACCTTTTTCCCATGTGCAACGAACCTATTCGCTGATTGCGCATCGCACGATGGGTCACATCCTGCAGTTGCCATTCGGGCATCAGCGTTCACAGGGCGGCGCAGGCCGCGGCCGGTCGGGCTACGACGGGGGCGGCAGGGGCAGGCGGAACCCGACAGCAAGATTACCTACCGCCGCCTCGAGGCGGCGGTCGCGGCCCTGACCGCGCTGACCCGACAAGGACCCCCAGGGGTGCCGCATCTCTGGTCAGAAAGTTTGCGACATTTTGGATGAATCTTTGTATTTCAAGTGATATGCAAGATTGGACTATGGGCCATATTAAGGCTCATCGGAGTCTTCCCAGGGGGGAACGCGCATTCGAAGAGCAGCGAGGAGTCAGGGGAAACGATTGCGCGGACACCCTAGTTAAAGAGATCCCATCGCGCCAGGTTTCAGACGCATGTGTGCAATATGCTGGAGTCCAGTGTAAATTGTGGCTGGGGATGCTCTTGACTTGGAACTTTCTGCTGGAGCCCTGCGGGAGACCGAGAAACGTTTTCGGGGATCTCCAGAAGATCTCCAGAACCCCGACGCCCCCCCGCAGGATTGTCAAAGCCCACATCGCTGTCGTCTGGAGTTTGAAAGGTATTCAGTTTCTTAGATGTGGCGGGAAACACCGCATATTTCGCATGGGCAAGGGCAACAATACCCGTGCGCCACTGCCGCGCTCGCTTTACTGTGCATGTGCCCGAAGGAGCCGCCCGCCCCCCAAACACTCCTTCTGGGCGGGGAGAATCCAGTCTTTTGGCGCGGCAGCTCTGTCTTGTTATCGCTGAGTAGCAAGGGACGCAGGTGTATCCAGCTGCCTCTGGCAATTCTAGACGCTTCGCGTATCCCCACCAGCCCTCGACCGTGTATCGTGCACTACGGCGCCCTTCCACTCGTTGGATCTGGGCTGACGCATCTCCGTTGTGGAAGGTTCTCCTGTCAGCATGCTCCACACCCTGGATGCGCGTTCTGGCGTCGCGACTTGGTGTCGCCGTCAGGATTTTCCGCTGGACTTATGTTCCCAGTCAGTATGTGTTACCTGTCAGACTCCCTGGATCGATGTCCTCGGGAACGTTCCTTTCTGTTCGCATCTGGACTTCTGGGAACGCCTCACGCGCCATTTTGGCTGCGCTTGGTCTCCTCGGTGCCTGTCCTCAGGCTCGTTGGTTGCACCGTTGCATGCCCGTCCAGGGGCTGTCTCAGACTCCCTGGATTGCACGTCGGCTCTGCCGCCCTGGGCGCTGCCGCCCCACGCCGCCTGATCCGCGGCCCCGCGCGCGCTAGGCAATTTAGTCGCGGCCGTAGCCCGCCCGCGACCTCCCGCCGCTGGCGCTTCCGCCTGCGGCCGTAAAAAAAGGTATCCCCACCAGCCCGTCCAGAAACGACGCCCAGGCGAGTAGAGGGTTGTCCTGAGGGGCTTTTCGGCGTCTTGGGTGCCTCGGGGGGGCCTCTGTGGGCCGTTCGGGATCCTCTTTGGGGCCCCCTGGGGGCCTCTTGGGGCCTCTTGGGGCCATCTTGGGGCCTTTGGGGGCCTCCTGGGCGCTTCTTGGGGCCATCTTTGCCCCTTGAGTGCCCCTGGGGGGTCTCTTGGGGCCTCTTGGGGGTCTGGGGGCCTCTTGGGGGGCCTCTTGGGGCCATTTTGGGGCCATCCTGCGGCCTCTTGGGCTCCTCTTGGACCCGTCTGGGCGCCCTTGAAGGCCCTGCTGGGGCGCTCTTGGGGCAATCTTGGGGGACATCGGTCAAGGAAGTAGGGTTCCTAATTCGAGTCCCCCCCCCAGGAACTCCAAAAATCGTCTCCTGTACCGCTCTGGGACCGCTCTTGGAGCGCTCTTCGGCGCTCTGGGCGCCGTCATGGGGCTTTCTTGGGCCCTTCTTGGGGCTATCTTGAGCCATCTTGGAGCCATCTTGACGCCTCGGATGTGCATCGCAAGCGAAAAAGTGAGAACACCAAAAACATTGATTTTCCATAGGATTTTGAAGCATTTTGGCCTCTTGGATGCATCCTAATGATGCTCTTGTGGGCACTTGGAACCGTCTTGGAGAGTTCTTGGAACGTCTTGGAACATCATGGGGACCATCTTGAGGCATCTTGCGCTATCTTGAGCCATCTTGGAGGGTATCTTGGGCTTCCTGAGGCCCTCTTGGAGCCGTCTTGGGCCATCTTGGGCGCTCCAACGCGCTGCGGAACCCCCTGTCCAGGTCAGTGGGGAGGGGGTAGGGGGAGGGGTAAACCCCTCCCCGAAGGGGAAGAGGGAGGGGTGGAAGAGGAAACTCGTTAAACCACCGACGCCCAGAGGGCTGGTGGGATTTCGCCGCCCCTGTGCCAGTGCAGTATTCTGGGCGGCGACCATTCGAGAAGGCACGGGAGGCCGTCACGTGTGACACGCCTCTCGAAGGTCTTGCGTGCCTGTTGGGTGCCTGTTGGGTGTCTGTCTCATGGGGGCCTTTTGGCAGCGTCTTGAGTCGCCTCGGAGGCTCTTGTGGCATCCTTTGGCTGTTAGAGGGCGCTTTGGGGCCATTTTGGTACTCTCGGAGTCAGTCTTGGGAGGCTCTCAGGGTCGTCTTGGGGCCCTCCTGGGGGGCCCTTGAGGGCCGTCTGAGGGTCCCCTTGGGCCGACTTCAGGTTTTCTTGTGCCGCTGCTGGACCGCTTTGGGGCAATCTTGGAACCTTCGTGGGCCGTTTTGGGGCCTTCTTGAGGCCTTCGTGGGCCGTTTTGAGGCCATCTTGGAGGCTTCTTTGGCCGTCTCGAGCTCATGGAAACCCCGAAAAGTGAGAACGCGGACATCAATTGAACAAGTAAGAACGTCAATGGTTTTGGCCTCTTCGGGGCCTGCTGGATATTCTCTTGGAACCCTCATCATTGTCCGTCTTGCAAGCCTCTTGGGCAGTCCTGAGGCCATCCTGGGCCGTCTTGGGGCCACCTTGGGCCGTCATGGAGGCATTTTGGGCAATCTTGGCTGCCTTGCCTCCCAGTTCTGTCTTGGAAGCCATCTTGGACGCCTTGGAGAGCGCCAGGGAGGCGTCGAGCAGCCCAGGGAGCGAGAGGAGGGGGGGGGCCCTCATAGAAGATTACAGGAAGCCTACAGGACAGCACTTGGCATTCTACCACGCCTCAGCGTGCCAGGGGACTGTCATTTCGCGTGGGAGTGCAGGCGCCGACAAGAAGCACAGTGGCCGAGAGGACGGCACATCTCGGAGACAGCGTAGGTACCGGAGGGAGCAGGGCGGTTCTACGACCATTTGTGCGGGCGTTGTGGCACATTGCCACGCTGGCTGTCTGTCGGCGGCAGCGAGGGGGGTAAATGAGAAGGAGAATACCCTCTCAGAAGGCGGCTGGACTTCTCAGAAGCCTTCTGACCTTCTGACATGTGTCTTCGGGGAAGGTTTGGGGAACTTCTCAGAAGGCCGGGAGACTTCCGAAACTCCTGAGAAGGCCCATCCCTTTTCACTTTCCCCCGGGCTCGCCGCCGAGTCTGAGAGGATGGGGCAGGAGCTGGCCTGGACGACTTCGCGCAGGAGGTCCTCTGGTGGGGGTGTCCAATCGTGCCCTGCCTTTCCACTGTTTGGCGGCATGCAGGGCGGTGTGGTGCGTTTTGCACTGCTTGCTGCTGCGCCGCTTCTCCTCTTGCTCTTTCCTCCCCTGCTGCTCTCCTCTTCTTCCTTTAGCGACGGGACGACTTCTCGAGCTGGTAAGCAACGCATGTGGCGTGAGGAGGGTGCTTACCAGGAAGGCACGCGGCTCCTCAGAAGCCCACCTGCCTCTCACAGCATTCCGAAATAAAAGCCCGAACCCGTGAGGGGAGCCTCGGCATTCGGACACTGCCCCGTGAGGGGTAGCCCTGCCGCCGCCCGCGTCGGCGCGCGTCCGAGGAGGAGGAGGAGGAGGAGGAGGAGGAGGAGGAGGAAGACGAGGAGGAGGAGGATAAGGATGATGAGGAGGAGGAGACGGAGGTGAGGGTTTGCCCTGCGCACAGGGGAGTTGCTCGCTCGCACCCGGGCGTGCACGTGCCCTCGTGCCGCGGCAGTTGGCCCGCTCGGGCGCCATAGCTGCCCGCTGCCTTGCTGGCCACGGCGAGGCCAGCCGGGGCGGCTTGGCACAGGCGTGCCAGGGCAGAGCGCTCGATTCGGCACAGCGGCAGCCATCATCAGTCCTCGGAGGCCCGAGGGTCGCCTCTACAGACCTTATGTCAAACTGGATTTCTCAATGGGGCTGTCAAAAATGCGGAAGGTTCTTTCCGAAATTGCAGAGATTCACGTCCGTCCAATGGGCATCACAGGCACCACAGTCGCCAGTCACGAGACAAAGCCAGACAGCAGCATCTTCCAGTGTTCAGCGACAAAGAAGTTCGTGTATATTTGGCCAATGTTCTACCGATGACCAAGGAAGAAGCGCCTGCGGAA